AGTTCGACGAAGGTCATGCTGAAGAAAGAAAGATGAAGATGTCTTATTTTAACTGGTGGAGTGCCGGTCTATGTGCCGGCATTCTAACGGCTGTGACTGTTATTGTCTTTATCGAAGATAGAGTTGGTTGGGGTGTTTCTAGCATCATACTCACTCTAGTCATGACTATATCACTTGTCATCTTCCTCGTAGGGAAACCATTCTATCGTTACCGGAAACCTTTGGGTAGCCCTTTGACGCCAATGTTGCAGGTCTTTGTTGCCGCCATTTCCAAAAGAAAGCTTCCTTATCCCTCAGATCCTTCTCTGCTTCACGAAGTTTCCGAGGCAAAGTCAAATAATGGGCGGCTTCTATCCCACACAACGCATGTCAAGTGAGTAGGACTATACCCAAAGATACCCATGTTTTTTTTTTTTTTTTTTGGCAAAGAGTGATTACGGATCTTTTAGGTCCATAATTTCTCCCAAATCCGGTATCAACCTTTTAATATCGGATTTAAAAATACTCTTCCATTAGATCCTTATAATTAATATTTATTAAACTTTCATAATTTTCAAAAATACTATAAAAAATAATTTGTAAACGTATGATGAAAGTATAAATATATATATATTCATATTGAAAATTGTTGCCCCTTTTATTATTTACAGTAAAATACATATATTAAAAAAAAAGAAATTAAACCGTTAACTATTAAGAAATTAAGATTACGGGATTGGTCATTGGCAATTGCAGCGCTTATCCCCATTTAAGCCAATCATGACTACCACTAGATTATTACTCTCTCCGTTTTATTATAATTATTGTTGTAAAATAAAATTTATGTTGTAAAATAAATATTGTCTTAAAATTTTAATGTAAAATTTATTAATTTTATATGATATTCTATTTTTCTATTGGTTGAAATGTAGTTAAATGTATTAATAATAAATGTTTATTTAAAATATATAAAATTAAATATTTTTTTAGTTAGTGTGTATATATTTAAAAAGACAATTAAATGAAAGGGAATGAGTAATATTTTGGTAATATGTCCATGCTTCTACATCCTAAACTGATTCTAGTGTGGATTTTTAAAATTTGCAGATTTCTTGACAAGGCAGCAATAATTGAAGACATCAGTCCTCAAGCTCTCCAGAAACAAAGTCCATGGAGACTGGCAACATTGACAAAAGTAGAGGAAACAAAGCTGATCATCAACATGATCCCCATATGGCTCTCCGTATTGGTCTTTGGCATTTGTGCTGCACAAGCTTCAACATTTTTCATCAAACAAGCAACCGTTATGGACAGACACACAGCCGGTAAAAACAGCTTCACAATCCCTCCAGCATCCATTTACTGTCTCACAGCTATCACACTGATCATGTACGTCACCGTCTATGATAAACTCCTTGTTCCTTTCCTAAGACGCAACACACAGAATCAAAGAGGCATCAATATTCTCCAGAGAGTTGGGATCGGTATGTTTTTCGCCGTCATCACAATGATCATTGCAGCTTTAGTTGAGAAAAAACGACTTCACCATCTTACCGAACACAATAAACCCATGATGAGTGTGTTTTGGCTTGCTCCTCAGTTCATAGTCCTTGGCGTTGCAGAAGGGTTCACACTGGTTGGACTTCAAGAGTACTTCTACGACCAAGTCCCAGACTCTATGAGAAGCTTAGGTATAGCGTTCTACCTAAGCGTGCTAGGAGCAGGTAGCTTCCTTAACAATCTATTGATCACGGTTGTTGATTCACTAGCGGATGATTTCTCGGGCAAGCGTTGGTTCGGTAAGAACTTGAACAGTAGCCGGTTAGACTGGTTCTACTGGTTGCTAGCTGGTCTAACCGCTGCCAATATATGCGTTTTTATGATTGTGGCAAAGAGATTTCCTTACAAAAGCGTGCAGCCAAGCCAAGTCTTAGCTGATTCGTCCGTGTCCGTTGGCTAAATAAATAATTTTCTGAATAGTTCAAAACGTATCTTCTTTTTGCGTTCACAATAATGATCATCACAAACTATAGACTTCTTCCAATCATAGCCTGCTTAATTAAAATTCTGTAGTAGGTGACTTTCCCGTGTTTATATAAGGATATAAATGTTTTATAATTAATAAATTTTAATAAACAGTTTTGGTAGTCATTTTATTTATTTAGATATTCGCAACCACAGAACATCTTATATATTAAAACAGAAGTCATGACTTGATTTCATGTGTGATTTCTAAAAAAATGGACTGTTACTAGAAAGTTATGTTACATTAACTCTCTAATAATATTATCATTATTTTATCTTATAATATGCTTAACAATTTTTTTTTGGTAAATTACCCCACACCTTCCAACTTAGTCACGCAAAATATGTCAATAGATATAAATTTAGGAATCTTCTATTATTTATAAGGAAATATGTCAATAATAGTTAAATGCATCCAGAATATATTAACAAAAATCACAGATTATTAATATGTAATATTTATATACCTTAACAAAATTTATATCTTATATATATTAGATAAATTTATTTCGATGTAAAATTTTAAAATTGTATTGTTTAAAAAAAAGAAATTGTTTAAAAAGTTCCTTTTTAATAAACTTTTTATAATATTAATTTATGAAGCTATAAGTTTAGTTTTTAGCAAAAACATTCTTCGAAGTTTATATTATCTTTGCAAATTAAATTACACTAATATTTAATCANATAATATAGAAAATTTGAAACAATCTATTTGATTAAAACACTTATTATATAATATTATTATGTTTGAAAAACATTTACTATACATATCGTAAATATGTGATTACTATAATATATACCAATTTACAAGTGAAAACAAAATGTTTATATAACTATAAACGAAAACAAACACCCGCGCGGTTGCGCGGGTCAAAATCTAGTTAGTTTTACAACAAACACCCGTGAAACATACAAAGCCTTGAAACCCTATGTTTGAACGAAATAAAAGATATTACGTCCTGTAACACTTATTCGGTAGGATTCGTAAGAAGCAAACAAATAACATCAAAACAAACAAAGGACAAACGCTTGCATGTGTCTTAATCAGCCACCGCCTCCACAGCCACCACCTCCACCACAGCCACCACCTCCACCACAGCCACCGCCTCCACATCCACCGCCTCCACAGTCACCACCACCACCCCTACCACTACCTCCTCCTCCTCCTCCTCCTCTTCCTGTACCGACTTCAGTTGTACATCTTTTGAAAATGGCCGTAAGAACTCCCAAAGCAAAGAAGACAACAAATAAGCTTAGGACAATTATTACTATAGCCTCCATGTTACACAACACACCTTAAGACTTGAGTTGTGGGTAATGATTTATTTTGACCAAAAATAGAGAGTAATGATTGATATCTCTACGAAGTATAAAGTCTCGATGATATATATAACACAGCTTTTTTTTGTCTCTGATGTTTTCCTGTAAACAAATAACGTGTTTAATTTGCATTGACTTAGACTTTTTAATATTTATATGTTTAGAAATAGTTCGGTTTTGTTGTAAGAAGATTTAGTCACGGGTAAAACTTGTATAAAACGTTGTGATCACAGTGGTTGATTCTCTAGCTAGCGGATGATTTCTCAACCAAGAGTTCGTTCGGGAAGAACTTGAACAGCAGCCGGTTAGACTGGTTCTACTGGTTTCTAGCTGGTCTAACCGCTGCCAATATATGCTGTCTTTATGCTTGTGGCCAAGAGATTTCCTTACAAAAGCGTGCAGTACTCAAGCCAAGTCTTAGCTGACTCGTCGGAGTCTGTCGCCTAAACAAATAATTTTCTGAAAAAATCATAACGTTTCTTCTTCAGGCTTTCACAATAATGATCATCACAAATTATAGACTTTTTGCAACCATAGTCTACTTCATTAAAATATGTACTAGATGACTCTCTCGTTCTTGTGTATGAATATAAATATTTACAGAATAAATAAATCATAATACATAGTAATACATAGTTTTAAAAGTCATTTTATTATTTATATATTATTCACAACCCCAAAACACAGAATAGTATACAGACTGATAATCTTCTTTCTTAAAAAAGCCTTATAAATAGTTTGTTTTTTAAAACTGAAAATTAAACCAAACACAAACCGAAGACAAAACGCTACATAGAAGAAGTCTAGCTAATCAAACTAAGATCTGGTTACGATTGCATGTCTTAATCAGTCTCAGTCTCCACCTCCACCACCACCACCACCACCACCTCCGCCTCCACAGCCACCGCCTCCACCACCACCTCCACAGCCACCACCACCACCTCCACAGTCACCGTCATCACCACCACCTCCACCTCCACCTCCGCCTTCAATGTCTCCACCACCACCTCCACTTATACCGACTTCAACAGCACATCTATTGCAAATGGCCATAAGAACCCCCGAAGCAAAAATGACAAACATGATTATGAAGATTATTGCCGAAAAATGCATGTTACACTCAACACAAGTTGAGGCTTGAGTACTTGAGAGTAATGATTGATATCTCTACGTTAACTATTAAGTCTCGATGATATATAACACAGATTTTTTTTGTCTCGGATATTTTCCAGTAGACAAATAACGTGTTTAGTTTGCATTGACTTGGACTTTTAATATTTATATGTTTACATTCAAAGATATAGTTTGCTTTTGTTGTATAAAGATTTAGTCATGGATAAAACTTGAATAAAACGTAAACCGTGAAGCTTTTGACGCCAAGTATTATATGATAAATCTTGTAACTGGATTTGAATTCCAATTGTTTTATTACGCTGAACCAAAGAGGCATCATCATCACAATGATCATTGCAGCTCTAGTTGAGCAAAAAAAAACTACTTGGGCCCTGTTCGTTTGTACATCTGAAAGATGCATCTAGATGGTCCATCTAGATGTCTTATCCCGATGCTCCATCTGGATGTTGTTCGTTTCTCTATTTCGTCTATCTATCTAGATGAATCATCTAAATGTAACTATGTTCGTTTGTTTTTTTAACTTGCATCTGCATCCAGATGGATTTGTTAATAAAATGAATAAAAGAAATTTGTGTTTACATTTTTAGCGGGAAAATGCATTTTTACGATTTTGATGAAAAATGAGTTTNGATGCTCCATCTGGATGTTGTTCGTTTCTCTATTTCGTCTATCTATCTAGATGAATCATCTAAATGTAACTATGTTCGTTTGTTTTTTTAACTTGCATCTGCATCCAGATGGATTTGTTAATAAAATGAATAAAAGAAATTTGTGTTTACATTTTTAGCGGGAAAATGCATTTTTACGATTTTGATGAAAAATGAGTTTTTCCAGTTTTGCCGGAAAAATTAACGTTTACGATTTTGACATGAAAATGTGTTTTTACAGTTTTAGTGGGAAAACATTTTTTGCAATTTTGGCGGGAAAACGCGTTTTTACGGTTTTGGCGAGAAAACGCGTTTTTGTAGTTTTGACGGGAAAACGCGTTTTTGCGGTTTTGGCGGGAAAATGCATTTTAACGGTTTTGATAGAAAATGCGTTTTATAGTTTTGGCGGGAAAACGTGTTTTATGTATTTTGGCGGGAAAACGCGTTTTTACGATATTGGCGAGAAAACACGTTTTTGCAGTTTTGGCGGAAAAATACGTTTTTATGGTTTTGGCGTGAAAACGTGTTTTTGCGGTTTTGACGGGAAGACGCGTTTTTGTGGTTTTGGCGGGAAAATGCATTTTTACGGTTTTGGTAGAAAATGCGTTTTATAGTTTTGGTGGGAAAACATGTTTTATGTGTTTTTACGGGAAAACGCGTTTTTACGGTTTTGGCGAGAAAACGCGTTTTTGCAGTTTTGGCGGGAAAATACATTTTATGTGTGTTTTTACGGGAAAACGCGTTTTTACGGTTTTGGCGAGAAAACGCGTTTTTGCAGTTTTGGCGGGAAAACGCGTTTTTACGGTTTTGGCGAGAAAATGCGTTTTTGCAGTTTTGGCGGGAAAATGCATTTTTACGGTTTTGGCGAGAAAACGCGTTTTTGCAGTTTTGGCGGGAAAATACATTTTTATGGTTTTGGCATGAAAACCTGTTTTTACGGTTTTGACGGGAAAACGCGTTTTTGCGGTTTTGGTGGGAAAAAATGCGTTTTACAGTTTTGGCTGGAAAACATGTTTTATGTGTTTTTACGGTTTTAGCGGGAAACACACATTTTTACGGTTTTGGCGTGAAAATGCGTTTTTGTGGTTTTGGGAGCAAAATGCATCTTTGGCGGGAATATGTATTTTGCGGTTTTGGCGAGAAAGTGTATTTTTACGATTTTGGTGGAATTTTTCGGTTTTTACGATTTTGGCGAAAAAATATTTTTTGGTTTTTATGGAAAGATATATTTGCAAAAAAATTTAGTATTTATGGTTTGAAAAATTATATTTATTTTAAAAGGTTATTTTTGTCATTTATGATTTTGGACTGAACTAGATGCATCTGCATCCAGATGCACCATCAAGACTCACCCTCATTTGGGTGAGAATTTGAGATGAGTTTTTAAAAAATCAGTTGGGTGATCCATCTAGATGTAACATTTTAATGTACAAAACGAACATTGATTTGCATCTTCGCCCAGATGGATCACCTGGGTGAGCAAACGAACAGCACCTTGATCATACCGAAACACAACAGACCCATGAGTATGTTTTGGTTTACTTCTCAGTTCATTATCATTGGCGTTGCGGAGGCGTTTACGTACACTCGTTGGACTCCAAGAGTACTTGTACGACCAAGTCCTAGATTGTATGAGAAGCTTAGGTGTAGCGTTTTACCTAAGCGTGCTAGGCGCAGGTAGTTTTTTTAACAATCTATACTGATCACAGTCATTGATTCTCTAGCGGAAGATTTCTAGGCAAAGCTCGCGGGAAGCACTTGAATAGCAGCCTGTTAGACTGGTCTACTAGTTGCTACCAGGTTTAACTGCTGCGTCTTTATGAATGTGGCAAAGAGATGTCCTTACAAAAGCGTGCTGTCAAGCCAAGTTTTAGCGACTCGCAAATTATAGGCTGCAACGGTAAAATAGTTAGGAATTAATGGAATTAAAATAAATGGAATTGTATGAATGGAATATAGCAAAATAACCAAATTTATGGTGGAATGAATCTCTTTATATTTTATCTATTTTGTTGTGGAATTGATGGAATGAGTATCCAATCCATTCATTTCAAATGGTGATTTTTTTTTTTTTTGGAAATCAATGGAATAAATCATTCTACATCATTCCATTCCAAAAATTAACAATCCAGTTCCAACTATAGACTTCTTCCAACCATATTCATAACCATTTGGTGGAATGATTCCAAAGAGAATCCTTCCATTCATAACCAGTGGTAGAATGATTCTCTTTGTATTTTATCTATTTTTTACGGAATTGGTGGAATGAGTATTCCAATCCATTTATATCAAATTATGAATTTTATTTTGGAATCAATGGAATAGATCATTCTACATCATTTCATTCCAAAAATTAACAATCTAGTTGCAGCCATAGACTTCTTCCAACCATATTCAGCTTAATTAAAATATTTTCCGGTGCTTAATGCTTCTGTATGAATATAAATATTACAGAAAAAGTAAATCATTATAAATAATATTTTATAGCAATTTTTACTATATAGATATTTACAACCACAAAACATTAATCTGACATTAAATACCCGTGAAACATTCAAAGCCTTGAAACCATTAATTCAAATCCAAACAAGGATGGTAGTCGAAGCTGGACATAGACCTAGAGAGGTTGCATCCTTAATCCGTGTTGAGCTTGAGGCAAAGTTATGTCGAAGGATTTGCTCACTTATCGAAGCAGTCGACGCTACCTCTTACCTTCGGTTTTGAGAAGTCGACAACGATATACACAGAATACTATTTTTTCTCTTAACAAAGAATTATAAATGATTTAAAGAAATTATGTCTTAAGTAAGAGTTGTAAGAAGCCAAAAGACATCAAACCCAAAGACAAACCGCGACATAGAAGTTTAGCCAATCAAACTAAGACCTGGTTACTATTACATGTCTCAATCAGTCTCCACCACCACCGCCTCCGCCTCCACAGCCACCACCATCTCCACCTCCACAATCCCCGCCTCCACCGGCACCTCCGCCTCCAGCTTCAATATCCCCACCACCATTTCCTCCTATAGCAACTTCAGTCGCACATCCATTGCAAATGGCCGTAAGAACCCCCAAAGCAAAAATGACAACAAATAAGGTAATGACGATTATTGCTATAAACTCCATGTTACATAACACACCTTGAGGCTTGAGTTGAGAGTAATGATTGAAATCTCTACGTTAAGTATCAAGGCTCAATAATATACAGTACATTTTGTATCTGATATAAACAGATAACGTGTTTCGTTTGCATTGACTTAGACTTTTAGTATTTATATGTTTGCATTCAACGATATAGTTTCTTTTTGTTGTTGTAAAATTATTAAAAGATTTTGTTACGGATAAAACTTGAAGAAAACGTAATCTTTGAAGCTTTGACGCCAAAATATTATATAGATCTTGTAACTGTATTTGAATTTCTATATTAAAAAAAAAAACTGTATTTGAATTTCAATTGATGTTTTAGGCTGAACCGATGTGACATCCTTCTCTCTGACCATATACAAACATTACGCACATTTGATTTTTGACCGGTCTATTGAATTTTGGTTCTTGGAGAAAAAAAAAACGTTATTGCTTTTGTTTGGTTCTTGTTATTATTAAACTTTAAGAATTTTATTTTATGATAAAAAACATTCATTAAGTCATACCCAAAAAGGCAATTAGGACGACGTCCCACAACATAGATTATTAAGGATATGATAGTTCACAGTTCTCCTCTACAAAGGTAAGTGGAAAGTGGAAACATTTTTTATTTTTAATCTTAAGAACTTCTCATCACTTTGATCGTAAAAGATCCAAAACCAAATGTTATATTCTTCATGGAACAACGTAACCTGCAAAAAAACATAGCAATAAAAAGGTAAGTTAAGTCAACACTACATATATTTTACATTACTCATCATGAAATTTAGAAAAATGAATCCATACGTCCACATCGTTTGCCAGCGGGGCGGTTGCGGATGTTACAGCGTTTAGGAACAGCGATTGCGACTCCAGGATTGATACCAGCTTTCTTGGCCAAAGGAGAGAGCATGACAGCACAAAGACAACGAGGGTTGGTTCTAATGAGAGCACCAACTTTGGCACAACAAACCGGTGGAACCTTACCCCTTGGGTTCTTTGTAGCAGCCAAACACGGGCTTAGGCTAGCCGCAGCTTGACCAATGGGCATGCGACCACACTCACCTGCCGCCTCAACGGAAGCCAATGTGATCAGAAGACTCATCAAAGCCAATGCAATAAACTTAAAACACTTCATGTTTCTTCTTATTTTGTTTAGTGTTTGTGTCTTAGACTCTTAGTGTGTTGATGATTCTTATATAGTAGTAAACATGTGTTAGTGGGGTGGTTGTGTTTTAGTAACGTGTACAGTTTATAATGGATCTTTTAAACTTTTCCCATTATGTAATCATTTGGTTTTTGTTACTTTGATTTAGATTTCACCATCTGTCGCTTGATTTTAATCACTCTAAAACATTTCTTCACTCACAACATGACTCTGTTTCTAATCATTTTATTCATTACTTTTAGAGCTCAACTACCCACCTAGCGAGTTCTGTAAACATACCAGGAATCAAACCAAGTGGGCTACAACAACAATACATGGTTTCATAAGATTTAAGACATACATAAGAGAAACGAGGTTTGTTTGGTCCTTTTTATCACTGACAACCGCTCAATCTCGCCCAATCCACAAACTGCATCCCACCGTAGATGTTATTAGCAAACCTTACACCAACGGTAAAGGCCAAAGCCACAGGAGGCACATTCTTGGCGAAAGGTGATGCTTCCACAACTCTCTCTAGACCATTGATGATCTGATAACGAGTATTAGAAGAAACACTCAAGAACACACCTGCAATGAATTTAAGTCATGGAGATTAATGATATAGTCAAATGTAAACAAGGTAGAACAGCCAAATTATGTATGTATATACCCCAGAGAGCTGCACTCTTGATGAGAGGTGGTACTGGGATGTCTTCTTCTGATTTATTTATGCTCCTGAGACAAGAGAATTAAAAAACTTAAGACACATACAAAAACTAAGTGACAAAGAAGTGTATGTTTACCGTTTAGCAGTCATAATGAGATTAGCAATGCCTTGACCTACAATGCCACATCCAAACCCAACTGCACCATACATTATACCCTTGTAGAAGTATGTAGCAAGTCTCTGTTGTGCAGAGAATCTACACCCTGGTCTTTCAGCTTCAAACACGCTGTGCACATCAGTAGCGACCAGAGTTACAAGATGTAAGCAAGTATATAATAAGTATTGAGTATCTTCTTGAATTGAAGGAATCTTTTTTTTAT